GCAGTGGTGGGAGGGAGGGAGGGAGGGAGGGCAAAAGGAGTGGGGGGTAACAGGGGAAAATGAGCCCTTTACAGCTTTGATAGAGTCTCTCTCTGTCTGCAGCTTGTTTGTGTCAAGAAAATTGTTTGTTTACAGTATGGCCTTTGTGGGAGTAATTTTTCTATCAACTGTCTAATGTAATTAAACTGGGTGATAAGATCACTTAATTATCAGAGCTCAGAGTGGAATTAAATGGAAGGTAGCAGTTGCTTTTATTGGTAAACTAAAAGCAACCAGTGATTCTGGTATGTATAAAGGTATCTGCACTGTATGCTGAAATGAATGTGACTGCTAGACTTACCGTCCAGGTCATGTTTGTGCTCTGTGGAGTAGGCTTTGCCAATCATAGTCCAGACAGGCCGCAGACATCCAAACAACCCCTCCAGGAACCCCCCTCCCCCTCCAGTAGATTGGCACTGTAACCTGGCATCATCCACCTGGCTCCTGACTGTGCTGCTGTCCAACTCCTGCCCCTCTCCCTCTGTCCGTCCAGGACTCCCATCATGCTCGTGGAGCTTCAGGACACTGTTGGCAAAGTGTTCGTGTTGTTCCTCGCCTGGTGTCTGATTTTGCCCAGTAGTCTGCCCCTCTTCTCCTCCACCCCTGGGTTCAATAGCACCCCCAGTATCTATGGAGAGGACATTGCGAAGGACGCATTGAGTTGGGGTCAGGTCCATTTCCGGGGTGCAGGGGGTTTCTGCATCGAGCCGCCGAAAAGATGGAGGATCAGAGAGTGGTGTGTTGAAGCCGGAGAGAGAAGGAGAGGGAGCACGAGGTTCATGAATGAGCGCCATGAGGGGCTGCAGTCATCCGAACAACTAGAGAACAGTGAGCCTTGACAAAACCAAAACACAGAGAGAGAAGGAGAGAAAAAGAGGATGGAAATTATAAATCAAATCAAAGTAACAATCACTGATCTTCCCCTCTGAGAGCCATGGAGGTTGAGCTTAATATCGAGTTCATAGGAGGCTGTCACATCTGGAAGATGATTAATTAGGCCTATAATAACTAGAACCTTTAGCCATACCTATTAGGTTACATATTTCACAAGTCACAGAGAAAATCAGAGGAGTGAATGAAAATGCCTAATCACTGTTTGTATGCTCCTCTGTATTAAGTTTTTTTCATTTTGTTGTATCACTCAGATTGTTACACAGCTTTCTGTGATGAAGAGTAACTTTATAGAGTACACCACAACAAACTGAGCAAACATGATGAATAATAAATATCACATAATTCTTCAAAACAATCCTTTTCAGTATTTCTCAGACTCAAAGGTAAAGATCTATTGCAATCTGACAAGTACAGGTGAAGATGCAAGCATAGTGGTTATCAATCATTGTACATTTTCAGTTAGATTTTTTTTATTGCTATTAACTAATGAATGATGAGAAATGTCTGAAGACAATACAAATTGGTACTAGAATGTGAAACATGATTCAGGATGTGGCTAGAGAGAGCAGCCTGTCTAAACTATAAATCTGACAAAGTCTCAGGTCAGCACTACCTCTAATGAAAACACCAGCAAATAACACTTCAGCCTACTTTACAACCTTATATACAGTAGCTGCCACCCTTCATCTTATAGAACATCACTGCAGTGTTGTTGTGTAGCAGTGGAGTGTGTTTACAGTTAACAAAACCCAAGTTCAATAAGCTAAATGATGCCACGGCTACTAAATTACATTCTGCATTTGAGAAATGCCATCGGTATTATAAAATGAATGAGATCAGATTGTGGCTGTATAATAACAGGACAATTTGGCAAGACTCTTTCAAGCTTGTCATTTCTCCAAGGACAGCAGCGTACACGCTTGGTGAACAATGAAAATGCATTATTTCTTGTCCGAGCCTTTTTAAGTGATCCACTGCTAGTCTCTGCAAGACTAAGAGGTGACAAGTATTGCATGCTAGGTAAAATACAAATGTACTGACATACTACATGTTGTACTGCATATGAGACAAAACTGCCTGCTTTTTTTAAAACTTGTTTTATAATATCATGAACTTGGACCTTCTCAGCTTCCAGAGGATTTAGTTACTGTGAGGGGCACTTCTTGTTCATATCCTAGTCTGTTCAAAGGTCATTTTAAGTCAGAATTACTAAACCTAATTATATCTACATGTTGTTACCTGTACTTTTATATTCACCATCCTACTTTAATTGCTCTCACTAAAGGTACTGTGATCAATGAGCTATCAGTCCACTATAGCATGATATCACTAGCCTACCTACTGTATTTTGCTGTGTATAACTATAATTCATAAATACAAAAAAAAGAAACCATACAAACCATACAAATAGCCTAAAACATTCGTTAACAGCCACAACCATTAGCCCTAACATCTGTAAACATTATCCTCATTATAATTTTCTGTGTAGAGAGAAACCCATCTACTGAGACACATCTGGTGTCTGAAATCTGGAACAATCAGCCATCATTCACATCCCACTGATCCTGTCTTCTAATAGTCCTGCTCCCTGCTCTCGCTTTATTTATTCCGAGGTATCATCTGCAGTAGCTGTAGGAGCGGGCTACGGTCTGTTACAGGCCAGTGCATTGTGGGTGCATCGGAGGGGTTGCTTGTGTGCATCGCCTCCTGTGGTTATCATCCCCCTTTGCCTCAGTGGGGCATCACTGACAGCACTTAAGTTGCAGGCAGACACACTTCTGTAGCTTTTTCGTGTATAATAAAGGGCAGGCTGCGTTATAATGCACTAAGACCAGCTGCCTTGCCCTTGTCTTCCTGCATATCACGCTGCCAATGTAACGTTTCCTACCTTAGTTCCGACAGCTGAAGCCCATCGTTGGTGAATGCAAATGCTTATTCCACTTTAGGGTGTATTCGAATAACCACCCTTTAAAATATCTTCCTTTCTGAATTTGTTTGTGTAATCAGCGTGCACGCTCTCTGCATCCAGTGAGTTTCCTCGGCGGTGGAGGACTGCGTGGAAGTCTGCGTTTATCCCAGTGAGCAGTAAACACAGCTTTAGCTACGCTCCCTTGGTTCGCTTGTTTTCCTGCCCCTACACCTCCTCGATCTTTTCCATTCTCCTATGAGGATGCGATCTGCAAACACTCAAGAATTTATAGGACTATCTCAGCTGTAGTACACACGACTTCACGAAGAGAGGAGGGATGAGAGGGATGAGAGGGAGAGGAGGGTGGGCGGGACGCGGCGCTGATGTCCACCTATCAGAGGAGAAATGTGATGTGAGATGCTCAGGCCGGTGAGACACGGGACAATCGCAGGTAAACGGGTTTATGTGTGCGTGTGGCCACTCTTGGGTTGGGGGGGTCAGCCGGTATGTGAGGTGATCAAAATGATGTCATCCCCAAAGCATGCTGCATTTGACTGGACAGGACCATGAAAATCCCTTCAAACCTATTAACACCCTTTGTATTGAGTGTAACTGGTGCATAATCTGCAGCAGCACCCCTTCTGCCACAGAGGGGATATGAAGGAAGGACGTCAGGTCGTTTTTTATTATTATCATCTCCAATCTCTACTGACCCATTTCACTAAGAGAGATTGGGACTGCACATGTAGAACCTAAATGGGACTTTCCCCAGGCGTGATTTGTTTCCCTCAGCAACTTTAATTAACCTGAATGAAATAAAATATCACACAAATTCAAACATCTGTCACCTTTCAACAGAAAGCTCATTTTATACTTGAGAATCCTAATAATGCAACAACACCAGAGCCTCTTCTTCAGTGTCCTCTTATCATTTCCAAGGCCTGACATTGTGTCATCATGAATGAATGTTTTCATTATTGTGTTATGCACAAAACCATGCACACATGCTTACCAGACACCACAGAGTCATATAGGGCAGATTCAGAATGCTGTGCAAAGATTTTCAAACAATATTAGCTTAAAAAGTCCACAAATAAAGAAATTATAAACATAACAACCATTCCAATGTTTGAATATTTCAGGGTTTTATTTAGGAATTTCAGAGGAAAACTGACTCCCTTAAATCATCATAAGCTTTTACAGTTCAAAAGAACCTCACTTTCCACTTCTCCCAGATAACACAGCTGGCACATTCAAGTCAGGGAAACCCTGCACCATGAATGGGTGCCAGTTTAACTCTGTAGGCCAACTGCAAGATCATAAAATCAGTGCAAATACTGGAGAATCTTCCCAGAGTCAAACTATCTGGCCGTTACAGAGGAAGAACAGCTGGGGATCCCATGTCTGAGCTGTGTATTTACCAAGAGTTGAAATGGTTGTAGTTGCATGACCCTATTTGAGGGCTAAATCCAAATCCAGTCTTTATCCCCGGATTAATCTTGTGTTGAGCTTAAATCCTAATGATGACCTCATCATGTTGCTTGTAAACAGTGGGGAAACCCTATCCAGTGCACAGACAGTGCACAGACAGTGAACAGTGCACAGACAACCATGACAGGTTGTACTGTGCATACACAGGAATTCAAACTCTCCCCTTCTTCCCCTTTTTGCTTAATGAACAATACAATCCCTACACTGGCTAAGTTTGACACCACCACTGAAATTAAATTGTATCCCCTGTCTTCTACTTGCACAAGAAATCTTGAAAAATACAAATAAGGAATATTTAACAATGTGCATTTTTTCCTGTGAGCACTGGAATAATACGGAGGCGGATCAAACCATCACAAGAGGTTCACATTGTATGATTTTTAAAGAATTTATTTGTCTTGCACTGCTGAACATAAGTATTTGAACACCTGAGAAAATCAGTGTTAATATTTGGTACAGAAACCTTTGTTTGCAATTACAGAGGTCAAATGTTTCCTGTAGTTCTTGACCAGGTTTGCACACACTGCAACAGGGATTTTGGCCCACTCCTCCACACAGATCTCCTCTAGATCTGTCAGGTTTTGGGGCTGTCGCTGAGCAACGTGGAGTTTAAGCTCCCTCCAAAGATGTTCTATTGGATTGAGGTCTGAAGACTGGTTAGGCCACTCCAGAACCTTGATATGCTTCTTACGGAGCCACTCCTTGGTTATCCTGGCTGTGTGCTTTGAGTCGTTGTCATGAGCCACGACCCATCTTCAATGCTCTGACTGAGGGAAGGAGGTTGTTGCTCAAAATCTCACAATAAATGGCCCCATTCATCCTCTCCTTAATACAGTGCAGACGTCCTGTCCCCTTCGCAGAAAAGCACCCCCAAAGCATGATGTTACCACCCCCATGCTTCACAGTAGGGATGGTGTTCTTGGGATGCATCTCATCCTTCTTTTTCCTCCAAACACGACGAGTGAAGTTTAGACCAAAAAGTTCTACTTTGGTCTCATCTGACCACATGACTTTCTCCCATGCCTCCTCTGGATCATCTAGATGGTCTTTGGCAAACTTCAGACGGGCCTGGACATGTGATGACTTGAGCAGGGGAACCTTCCGTGCAATGCATGATTTGAAACCATGACGGCGTAGTGTTCTACCGACAGTGACCTTTGAAACTGTGGTCCCAGCTCTCTTCATGTCATTGACCAGCTCCTCCCTTGTAGTTCTGGGCTGATTCCTCACCTTTCTCATCATCCGTGATACCCCACGAGGTGAGATCTTGCATGGCGCCCCAGTCCGAGGGAGACTGACAGTCGTCTTTAGCCTCTTCCATTTTCTAACAATTGCTCCAACAGTTGATCTGTTTTCACCAAGCTGCTTGGCAATTGCCCTGTAGCCCTTTCCAGCCTTGTGGAGGTCCACAATTTTGTCTCTGGTGTCTTTTGACAGCTCTTTGGTCTTGCCCATGGTAGTAGTTGGCGTCTGACTGACTGTGGGGTGGACAGGTGTCTTTAAAGAGCTCAGACAGGTGCTACTAATTTAGATTAATGAGTGGAGTAGAGGTGGACTTTCTCAAGGCACAGTAACAGGTCTTTGAGAGCCAGAATTCTTGCCGTTTCTCAGGTGTTCAAATACTTATGTTCAGCAGTGCAAGACAAATAAATTCTTTAAAAATCATACAATGTGATTTCCTGAATTTTTTTTTTTAAATCCTGTCTCAGAGTGGGAATGCACCTACAATGTGAATTTCAGACCCCTCCATGATTTCTAAGTGGGAGAACTTGCAAAATCGCAGGGTGTTCAAATACTTCTGTTCCTCACTGTATGTATTTATTTAATGCTTTGCTGAAAAAAATGTAAAAAAAATAAAATCATCTGGTTTTAGGTAGAAGATGTTTCACCTCTCATCCAAGAGGCTTCATCAGTATTTAATGCTTTGTTTGTTACCAGAATGTGACTTATTAATATTTGATGTAGGTTTTAATATTATATGTGATTTTTTAAAAATCTGTGGGCTTATTCATTCTTGCTGTTTTCTGCCATCCATATCTACAACTCCTCTCCTTTCTCTGTCCTAATGCAGTATGAATGGAGTGTCACACCTTCTGTTCTATTTTTAGTGTTTTCCTGAAACTTTCTCCATGATTTATTCATTGGTGCTTGTAGTTGCAGAACAGCTCCTCATAAGAGATGCTCAGGCCTCTGAGGATCGACGCCTCTGATGTCCACCAACACAGCTTCTGTTGTGGTTACTCTAGCAGAAACAAGCACAAAATGATCACCATGGGGTATCACTTACTCCTTATCAGATAAAACCTCAAATTTTCAAAGTGACAGGCTTTCAAAAATATATTCAGTGGGACTCCCACTGATTTCTAAAAAATATTGCACACTGGATTCTGGATGAGTTGTGTGTGTTCTACTGTCATGTTGCACATACATGCAAACAATTATTCATTTAATTTGCTAGAAAATATGCAAAATTAAATCCTCAAAGCTTTAATCTGACCACTAAAAGAATGATTACAGCAGACACTGCATGGTAGTCATGCAAATGGCTGATGTAAAATGTTGCGTGGTTTGGCAACATGCCTCACAATCTGTAGGGGGAATTAACGGAAGCCTGCAGTGAAGGATGGCGAAAGGAATACTGTGTGTGAATGTGTGTATACATGCCTCTGACTATGAGTGTACAGTATGTTGTGTGAGGCCCAGTGCCAAGTGGTCACAGATTGTTCCAGTCCGGTTAAGGAGGTGGGGGGTAGAGTAGAGGTGTGTGGTTGTGTGTAGACTAAAGAATGACGGGGGGGGAGGCCGGCTCCAGGCAAATTGAAGAGCCTATTTCTGGCTCCTCATTGAGCCCCTTGTGTTACTCATTGTCACTTTCACTCACACTCTTGTGAATAAGCAACCAATCTTCTAATCCACTCAATTATGTTCCTAAAAGGAACATGAACAAAAGAAGCAAAGACAACTGGTACTCTGCTTCAACATCATATTGACTGAAAACCAACTGCTGGAAATCAGAGACATTCTTTCAGATTTCCAGTGAAATAAAGAAGGCAAGTGTTTGTATTAGTATGTCTTAGCTTTTGTGTTTGTTTGTGTCAATATGCACTATGTGATTCCTTCCGGTCTGTCAGGGGGAAGCTGATACTGGACAGTATTGTCATCAATCAGGATGCCACTACTGTACTGTGTGTTATATCCATATTGTCCACATTAAGAATGGCGCCAACCAGTATTGGTAGGTAGGCAGGGGAGGTGTTGTGGGTGGAGGATTCTCCATTTCAACAAGATGACCTCACCTCCTGTCTGCAGCTCAGGAAGAAGAGTTTTCATTCATAAAGTTAAACCATTCACACAGGCGCATGCTCAGAAGTGCGTGCACACACACACAAACATAGAACTGTCAAATGTCCCAGCGGGATGTTGAGGAAACATCATTAGCCAATGAAGTAACATTTTGGTGAGATCACTGCTGGACGCCAAGGTTCCTCCTTCCGTTTCAAAGCTCCATAAAGGAGTGTTTGACGCCTCTCATCATTTGACCTTGCCTGCACCGCAGCACCACAAACTCAGGAGCCCAAACAAGACGTCATAGAAAAGTGACTGATACTCCCACTAATTAGATGAAAACTATACAATTTATGTCTTTAGTCATAAACTGTACAAATATGCATATTTCTAATTTCTCTAAACTGGCTAAAACCTGCATTTACTTATTTTGTGGTCACTTTGTTGAGGTGTAACTATTTGATGCTAAACAGGCAGAATACGATGAGTTTGTCAAGCTGCTGCAGCCAAAAACCAAGAAAACAAAAACAAAAAACAAACACAAAACACTGAGAGACCAGTGAGAGTGATGACCAGAAAACCAAAACAATGACCTCACAATGTAAAGCTCCATAAAGATGAGGGGAGCTGAAAATTCATGAGACAATCTCTGTAGGATCATCACTACGAATAACCCTTTTCACAATCATTTCTCACACTGTTGTCATAAAAATGATGATTGGTTTTAATGCTGTATGGCAAATGTTAGCCAACAGTTGTTCTTATACATTCCCCAGTGTCTTTCTAGCCAATAATTACTTTCCTTTTTAGCTCGGTTTCTGGTCTCAACTAAGTCTTGAGGGAGAATTCTGGCATTTCAGTTGCTATATATTCGACTATGTTCACCAACTAGTGGCTAACCTCTGTCTGTTGTTTGATACTTTGCAGGTTATGTGCAGTGGGTTTTTAGAGCTATTTTGCAGAGGGAGTAAACCAAAACTATAAAATTGTGCATCAGAAAACCAAAACTGCTAATTGTGAAAAGCTGAGGGGAACGTCAGAGTTGGTTGATAGAGCCATGGGTGAGCAAATCCTTCCATATACCCTTTCAAGTAGTCACCTGATCCTTTGTTAACATAAAAATATTGATTATAGCCACTTTAAACTTTCTAAACAGCCAATGTAGGAACCATACTGATTCATTTTGGCGTGTTCTAAAATATGCCAATCAAATGTGTAGATCAAGCGCTGCTTTGATCTTTCAGGGAGATTAGAGATGTGTCTTTCCCTTTGAAACCACTCAAACGTAAGAAGCCAGTCATGCAGC